TCCACCAGATGCTTACGAGAACTGATCCAAGAATTCAGCAAAGTCACAGGGTACAAAATCAACGTACAGAAATCGGTTGCATTCTTATACGCCAATAATGAAGCAACAGAAAGCGAAATCAAGACACTGATCCCATTCACAATTGCACAAAAAACCATAAAATACCTACGAATAAACCTAACCAAGGATACAAGAGATCTGTATGATGAAAACTATAGAAAACTTATGAAAGAAATTGAAAAACATTCCATGCTCATGGATTAGAAGAATAAATATAGTTAAAATGTCATTACTACCCAAAGCAATCTACACATTCAATGCAATCCCAATCAAAATTGCACCAGCATACTTCTCAAAACTAGAACAAAATTTGTGTGGAACCACAAAAGACCCCGAATAGCCAAAGTAATGCAGAAGAAGAAAACCAAAACGGGAGGCATCACCATCGCAGACTTCAGCCTCTACTACAAAGCTGTCATCCTCAAGACAGTATGGTATTGGCACAAAAACAGACACATAGACCAATGGAACAGAACTGAGAACTCAGAGCTGAACCCAAAGGTATACAGCCAACTAATCTTTGACAAAGCAGGAAAGAGTATCCAATGGAAAAAAGACAGCCTCTTCAACAGATGGTGCTGGGAGAACTGGACAGTAACATGCAGAAGAATGAAACTAGATCACTTTCTCACACCATACACAAAATTAAACTCAAAATGGATAAAGGACCTGAACGTGAGACAGGAAACCATCAAAACCCTAGAGGAGAAAGAAGGAAGCAAACTCCTTGACCTCCACCGCAGCAATTTCTTACTGGACACATCCTCAAAAGCAAAAGAATCAAGAGCAAAAATAAATTATTGGGACCTCATCAAGATTAAAAGCTTCTGCAAGGCAAAGGAGACAATCCATAAAACTAATAGACAACCGACGGAATGGGAAAAGATAGTTGCAAATGACATATGAGACAAAGGGCTAATATCCAAAATCTATAAGGAACTCACCAAACTCCACACCCGAAAAACAAACAACCCAGTGAAGAAATGGGCAGAAGATAGGAACAGACACTTCTCCGAAGAGGACATCCAGATGGCCAACAGACACATGAAACTATGCTCAGCATCCCTCCTCATCAGGGAAATACAAATCAAAACCACACTGAGATACCACCTCACGCCAGTCAGAGTGGCTAAAATGAGCACATCAGAGAACTCCAGATGCTGGTGAGGATGTGGAGAAACGGGCACCCTCCTACACTGTTGGTGGGAATGTAAACTGGCACAGCCCCTCTGGAAAACAGTGTGGAGGTTCCTCAGGAAATTAACAATAGAACTCCCCTATGACCCAGCAATAGCACTGCTAGGAATTTACCCAAGGGATACAGAAATGCGGATGCATAGGAGCACACGGACCCCAATGTTCATAGCAGCACTCTCAACAATAGCTAAACCATGGAAAGAGCCTAAGTGTCCATCCATGGACGAATGGATCAAGAAGATGTGGTTTATCTGTACAACGGAATACTACATGGCAATGAGAAACAATGAAATCTGGCCATGGGTAGCAACATGGATGGACCTTGAGGGTGTTATGCTGAGTGAAATAAGTCAGGCAGAGAAAGACAAATATCATGTTTGCACGTATAGGAGGATTAGGAGGAACTTACCGGAGGACCATGGGGGAGAAAAAGGGGGGAGATGGTGGGGAAGAGGGAGAGAGGTAAACCATGAGAGACTCTTGAATGCTGCGAACAAACTGAGGACTGATGGGTGTGGGGGGAGGGGGGAGATAGGCATGTTGGGGGGCACTTGTGGGGATGAGCACTGGGTGTTATATGGAAACCAACTTGACAATAAACTATTTGTAAAAAAAAAAAAGAAATTATCAAAAACATTATAGAATCTATCCCTCACCCCACTCCACCATAATATAAACAGTATTTTCAAAAATATCTTTTCAAAACTGTCAAATTACAACTAAAATTATTTGAAAATAAAGGCATAAAGAGAAACTTCATATAATTTTATCTACATCATTATACCAACTAATCATAAATATTTTTTTCAGCAGCTGGAAAATACACATTAAAAATATGCATCGATGACACCCTTGATACATTTTAATTTTTAAAATGCACTTAAAATATTATTTCCGGGGGTGCCTGGCTGAGGGTAACGTGACTCTTGATCTCAGGGTCATGAGTTTCAGCCTCATGTTGGGCGTGGAACCTACTTAATTAAAAAAAAAAAACAATTTCCCTTTAAATATTACAACTTTCCATAATTTTATCCAATTTATTTTTAATTTCAAAAAATTTTATCTAATGATTTACATTAGAATAACCTGCTTATTTGATTTTTTCAGTATTGATAATTTTATATTTGAAATATACTCACATTTATTGACTTAATTGTTATTTGAAAATTCTGAATGCCTTTGAAATAAAAATACCAGTATTAATTTAAGCATTGTTTTTCATTTTAAAGTTTTTATTTATTTATTTTGAGAGTGAGAGAGAGAGAAACAGAGAGGCAGGCAGAGAGACAGGGAGAGAATCCCAACCAGGCTCCACACTGTCAGCATGAGCCCAATGCAGGGCTCGAACTCACAAACCGTGAGATCATGACCTGAGTGGAAATCAAGAGTCAGACACCCAAATGACTGAGCCACCCACGTGCCCCAATTTAAAAATTTTTAAATCAAAATGGTATTGTCATTTTGTTCCATACTGCAAATATTAGTTGAAACAAAATAAATATTATATATATATTGATATCAGATGGCTGAACTCAGAATGTTTAAGTAATATTGCTATTTTAGTTCTAATCCATTTAAGAAGATTCTATGTCTTTATATTAAAAGTATATCACTCGTACAGCAGATATTTGGGTCTTTTTAAACGCCATTTTTATAATCTGTCTTTTAAATGGAAAACTTACTCCACTAACTTTTTTTTTAAGTTTATTTTGAGAGAGAGCGAGCAAGAGCAAGCGTACTTGTGTTGGGGAGGGGCACAGAGAGAAAATCTCCAGCAGACTCTGCAGTGACAGTAGAGAGGCTCAAACTCAGGAACAGAGACATCATGACCTGAGCCAAAATCAAGAGTAGGATGCTTGGCCAACCAAGCCACCCAGGTACCCCAGGTCCTCTAACTTTTAAAGTAATTATTAGTATGTTTGTGTCTGAGTGTACCCTTTATTATTTCTTTTCTACTTGTCTCCTTTACGTTTTTGCCTCTATCCCTCTTTTTTTTTTTAGTTACCTGAATATTCCTTAGAATTCCATTTTAGTTCTCCTATTGGCTTTTTAGTTATACTTCTCTGCATTTGTGTTTTTACAATATGCCCTGAGGATTATAATGTATAATCCACATAGTTAATATTGTACTACTTAACGTAAAATGTTGAAACCTTGCAATGATATAAATCCATATCCCCACTCAAAGCCTTTATCCTGTGTTACATGTATTACATCATGTTATGTATTGATGTTATGTAATGATGTATTACATTATGCTATATGTATTACATTACCCCACAAGGCCATATTATAATTATCGCTTTAGTTACATTATTATTAAGAAATTAAGGGGGAGGGGGCGCCTGAGTGGCTCAGTTGGTTAAGAATTTGACTTCAGCTCAGGTCATGATCTCATTGTTCATGAGTATGAGCCCCACATCGGGCTCTGTGCTGACAGCTCAGGGCATGGAGCTCGCTTCAGATTCTGTGTCTCCCTCTCCCTCTGCCCCTCTCCCACTTGCACTCTGTATCTCTCTCTCTCAAAAGTAACTAAAATATTTAAAAAATAAATTAAGAGGAAAAAAGTAAAACAAAGTCATTTGCATTCACTCAGAGATAAACTTCCTTCAGCATTTCTTATAGTGCTTGTCTATTAGTGATGAATTCTCTAAGTATGTTTTTATCTAAAAATATCTTGAGTTCACCTTCACTCCTGAAGAGTATTTCTGCTGCATATAGAATTTTGTGAAACACTTCTACCTCCTGTGTGTACTCCCTTAAACCACACAGGGGTTCTGCTTCTATTCACTGTCTAGTATCTTCAAGTAGCTGTTTTTGTCTATTATTTCCAGGTTTTAAAGTTGTTTTTTTGGGAGGAGTCAGTTAGGTGGGATGTGAATCTAGCATCATTGAATTTATCACTTTGCTTCCCCCTTCCACCTGCTTTACTGAGGTACAATTTATGTACAGTAAAATTCACTTCACTTTTTATTTTAAAAAATGTTAATGTTATTTTTGAGAGAGAGAGAGAGAGAGAGAGCAAGAGCGCACAAGTGAGGGAGGGGAAGAGAGAGAGAGGGAGACAAACAGGTTCCAGGCTCTGAGCTGTTAGCACAGAGCCCAATGTGGGGCTGAAACCCACAAACCGCGAAATCATAACCTGAGCCAAAGTCGGACACTCAACCATCTGGGCCACCCAGGCACCCCAAATTCACTTCACTTTTAAAGTATACTGAGTTTTAAATAAACTGTCCTGAACATAAATATACCCACACAGTATTTTCAATGTGGCATTGAAAAAGTCAAACATTATTCAAAGTTTTACGTTTACCCAAGAAAAGAAATATCAGGGGTACCTGGGTGGCTCAGATGGTTGAGTGGCCACCTTTTGACTTTGGTTCAGGTCACAGTTTCATGGTTCATGGGATCGAGCTCCACACTGGGCTCTGTGCTGACACTATGGATGCTGCTTGGGATTCTCTCCCTCCCTTTCTTTCTGCCATTACCACATGCGCACGCGCGCACACACACGCACGCACGCACACACACACACACACACACACTGATCTCTCTCTCAAAATAAATTAATAAACATTAAAAATAAATAAATACCAATCTTGATGGCTATGTGGGCTTTAAAAAGCCTTATGTATATTCTTTGTACAGTATATTCCTAAAGGGCCTCCTCATACTCTTAGTAAATCCTAAACTATATAATAAATAAATAACCAGAATACAAATCAGGAGGAGGTACAACTTACCTTTTTGGGGGCTTTTTTCCTTGGTGTGATATTTTTAGCAGAACTTCCCTTCTTGGGGACTGAAGAATGTAGAGGTGGTTTAGTCCGACTTGATTTCCTGATCTGTTGTGTTGGTAATATTATAGCAGTTTTCTGTGGAGACGGCATTGAACGTGGGGCCTCTTTGGGAAGAGAAGACTGTGCTTTTGCTATATTCTTTGTAACAGGCACTGAAGGAAAAAAAAAAAACCACAACACAAAAATAAAATTAAAGCAAATGACACAATTAAGGTATTATCTTCTTCAGATTTAAGAAATGTAACTCAATCTTTAAAAATATTCCAAAGGTGATTCATTAAAAACCACTTAAAATAAAAGTGCCACTTAAAATGAAGTTTTAGGTATTTAAGATTTCAGATTATCAGCAAGTTGTCAGAATTCTCCCAAAAAATAAATAAATAAATAAATAAAATAGAGAGGCGTTTATAAGAGGTGTTTATTTAGCACAGTGAAAACAGCTATTTGCCTTTTGTCTACTTCTCCTGTTTTTAGTTCTTAGCATGTAAAAGAGGTTTCCCTTCAGAAAATACCATACTAAAATATCTAACCATGCCATATACAGGAATCACTTAGAATGATCAATATAAAAAAACACAGCAAAATAACTATCAACTCTTAGTTCATCTTTCAGAGGCCAGAGGAATCCCCTGCACTTGATTTTTAACGGCCAGAGCACATGTTCCCATATATATGTCTAGTAATAAAGCTTTGTATACTACAATGTAGCTTCTACATTAATATTGTCATGGAAGGACCACTATCAAACCCAAGTGATATGTATATACTAATTACTTGGTAGCCCTATGCAGGCAGTTTTAGCATTTCAAATAAAGGTTACCTGCCAGGTTACATTTCTCTATGTTCATAGTTAGGTAAAAAGAGATGTTTTTAGTATTAATCCCTCAATAATTTTATTATTACAAAAAACATGAATTTTACATAGTAAGAAGTACTAATGTCAAAAAAACCTTTAGAGGAAAAGCTTTGTAAGAAAAACAATTATACATGTGTGCAAAACTCTACTTTTATTCTGAGGGCTTCATTTTACAACTTGAAACGAATCTACTCCTTTGCTCCTCCCATACTCCAAGACCATGTACAAATCTGACCTTCTACAGAGAATGTATCTTCCCTGCAGCCTTTTTATCTATCTTCTATCACTTGCCAAGCCAAGAGGAGGGAACGGCCTTCTCTAGCTGCCAAGGCTAAATGAAGACCATCTAACTGCCTCCATCACTTTCTCCCCTTATCTACAGTAATTCACTGGCTTACACTCGTCTTCTTACCTCTTTACCATCTCTACCTCAGTCTCCATGCTCACTTTCACTTTCTTCGGCAACTCCAGTGACCTAATTCACATTATTTCTTCTTACACACTCTCCCTGTCATCAGCTTCAGGAATTTAAACATAATTCTAGGGCACCTGGATGGCTCAGTCTGTTGAGCATACGACTTCAGTTCAGGTCATGACCTCCTGGTTTATGAGATTGAGACCCATGATCTTGTGGTTCATGAGTTTGAGCCTCGCACCAGGCTCTCTGCTGTCAGTGCAGAGCCCGCTGTGGAGCCTATTTCAGATCTTCTGTCCCCCCACTCTCCCTGCTCCCCCATTCACGTGCACACACATGTGTACATATGCTCTCTCTCAAAAGAAATAAACATTTAAAAAAATCATAATTTTGATGCTTCATCGTTGTGACTTCATCACTGGAGAGTTCAGCTCCTTCCTAAAAAATGGTTATACTTCATTATTTTTGGAACTCTTTTATCTCCAAGATAACCACTGTGCTCCTTTCTTTACCTCCGCCTTTCTCACCTGTCACCTTTGCTTCATACCAACTGGTCCTGCTTCATTCTCATGGGAGATCTAGCCATAAGCCCTCTCCATTTTCATCCAATCCATTAGCTTTCTTCTGGCTTTTCTCCCTATCAACCTCCTGTCCACCTCCAACAATACCCCTCTGACTAGTATCCCTTACTTTATCACCCCTTGATCACATCCAGCATGTTGGCTCCCACCTCTGAGTCACACTATCATTTGCTTTCTCTGGTCTTGAGCTACAGAACAAGGGTGAGCAATCTTTTTCTGTATACAGCCAGTGAATATTTTAGGCTCTGAAGGTCACAAACAGATTCTGTCACACATTCTTCTTTGTTTCTTTATTTGTTTGCTTGGTTTTCTTAAATGTTTTATGAATACAAAAGCCCTTCTTAACTCTCAGGCTACATGGGTTGGATGTGCCTGGCCCTCGGGTTGTAGTTTGCCAACGCTTGCTTTACAACATTAAAATGTTATTGATTGCTAGAAAATCCACACTAGCCTCAATTGTGGTGCCACGGCTGTGACTCACTAATTTGCAAGTATGTTTCCACAGCAGAATGTTTTCCCCTGTTAAAGCGTCCCATCTCCCTCTCACCCTATTCCATTCAGCAAATGACCCTACCTTCTACTTGATGGGAAGAATGAAGGGTATTTTTTGGGAATGACCATAACCATCCCATTTCTCCATTTTAAAACGCTTTTATTTTCATTCATTCTCATCTCTTCCTCTTGCATCACATGAAAAGTTTTCTCTCTACTCTTCTAAGTCCAATCAATCCCTTTTACCTATGTCCTAATAATAACTATCTTCTTTGGTTCCTCTGGGACATTATGGTTTCAATGATCTCCTTCCTCTTCACAGAATTTAATCCCTGTTCCCCAACTCCTTTCTCTCTCTTACAACCCTCAAGAATCCCTCCTTACTTTGAAGATAGCACTCCTAGTTTCTGGTATATTTTCAAGCCCTTCCATGAATCTCCTCCTATTTCACTATCAAAACACCAAGAAGAATCACCTATACTTGATACTTCAATTTGCTATTCTATTGTTTCCTCAGCCCCCTGTGATAAGCTTTTTCTTCTCCAAAAATTCTTTCCAAGGTTAGTAATGACACTCTCCTAGCTACTATATCCAAATAAATCCTCACTGTTTTGACCAATCTATTCATCTCCACGGTTCTGGTCTCTACCTTCAAATACATGGCCTGAAGAAAAGGAAACAGATTGGGTTTTGGACCTAAATTTAAATTCTTGTGCCAGGTTGGTTTAAGACAGAACCTAAGAGGTAGGGAGGGGTCAAGATGGCGGAGAAGTAGGGAGCTCCATACATTGCACTCGCCCCCATATCTCACACCGAAAAGATCTGAAGCCATAGGAAACTTTACAGAACCCAAGAGATTGGGAGAAAAAGAACGCAGAATCCACTGAGAGAGCCTTCTAACGTGAGTGCGAACTGGGGAAGATAAAATCGGGCCGGGATCGGAGACTCCAGGGATGGGAGGGGAAAAAGAGAGAGTCTGAAACCGCTCAAGACACGGTCCCTGTCGTTGGGAAACAGAAAAACCTCCGCTCAGGGCACAGAAGGTCCGTGCGCGCCAAATCCCTGCGTGCCAACTCGTCCCGGAGGGGCTGCGCACTGACCACTTCTTGCTCCTGGGTGGCTAGACCCGTAGAGGAGCTGCGCGCCTCCGCGCCATGGTGCTCCTGGCTGGCCGGACTCCTGGAGGAGCCGCACGATGTGTACTGGGCGTCCCCGCTCCTGGCTGGCTGGAACTCTAGAGGGAAGGTGAAGAGCTTAAAAACTGGGAGATTTGCCCGCGAGTTCGTGTATCGGGTGACGAGACACAGAGGGACCTGGTTTTTCTCCCTCTCCAGCGGGTCCGGCGCGACCGGCACGCAGACCCCCGCCCATGCTTGCCAACCCAACCGGGAGGAGAAGGGAGCAGCGATTCTGGCTCCACCCCCAGGGCTAGGCAAGAGGCTTGGAATTGCCCTGAGGGGATCGCCTGCAAGGTTGTGTCTAGGGCAATATCAGTGGGGCACAAGGACTGGGATTTGGAAACTACGCCTGGCCTGAGTTAAAGAGCACAACCCACTTTGGCTGCGCCCCCGGCCCGGGGAGTTTACACGCCCAAAAAAGTGAGGTGCAGCGCTTGGTTCAAGAAGGAACTGGAGCACCGTCACTATCCTCCCTACAACCACCAAGGCAGAACTCCCACCTGATGCACTGGATCACACCATGCCCATCCCTGCTTGAGAGCTGCCCTCCACCCCGCTTTTTTTTTTTTCTTTTCCCCAGAACACTGACCTGATTAACTCTGGTCACCAGCTTGCTTAAACAGTCACATCTAGTCCATTCTGTAGATGTTAATTCTACACCTACCGACCTTTTCATCTCTTTCTCTCAGGAGTAATTAGACTATAAAGTTTCTCTGGATAACACCAGCGTCCTTCTCTCACCTCTCCAACCATATTCCACCCTTTAGCTCTTTGAAAAAAGCTTCTTACCCCTTCTGCCTGTTCATTCTATTTCCAATTTTGCCTCATCTCCGCCCTGTCTTCTCTCTCTTTCTCTATGCTCTTCAACCAGCATACTGCATACACCCGACTATTTAATTGTAGCTGGGAAATCCGGTTATATGCTTTAAACCATTCTTTGTCCATTAGTTTTCTTTTTTCCTTTTCTTCTTTTTGACCTTTTTATGCATGTTCTTATTATTTTCTATTATTCGCCTTCCCTCCTCCGTCTTTTCTCTTAACTTTTTCGTTTTCCCTCTCAGTTTGCAGGTTAGTTGGATTTGTCTGTGCGGTTGTATGCCTCTGCTCCCTGTGTGTTTGTCTGTCTGTTTTCTTATCCAGGGCTACCTCAAGAAACAAGCCAAAGTACACATGGTGGAAAGTCCCAAATATCACTACGAGTAGGAAAATAACCAAGGTCTCAACAAGAGAGACCCAGAGATACCATTACAAAAAAAAACACTCTCTGAAAGGATAGGCCCTGGACAGTCAAAGAGCCTTCTTGGATACAGCAGCGCTCACAGGTGGAAAGAGCATAACAAGTCTTTAAAACCAACAAGAGCCAGAAAGCTAATTAAAATGACGATGCGAAAGAGTTCTTTTCGAAAGAAATTCCAAGAAGAACTGACAGCTAATGAACTACTCAAAACAGATATAAGCAGCATAACTGAACAAGATGTTAGAATAATAATAATAAAATTAATAGTTGGGCTTGAATAAAGCATAGGGGACATCAAAGAACTATGGCTACAGACAACATGGAGAATAAGAATAAGCATGATGAATTAAAAAAGGCGATAAATGAGATACATAATAAATTAGAGGCCTCCAA